ATCCGCCCCTGCGTCACTCTCACTTTTTCTGTTACTAAAGGGAAAGCCAGCTAGCGAGCAAGCTCTTCTGATGATCGTTGGGTACCAAAGCCGGCTTTTCTCATTTGCTGGCATCCACGAATCAAACATTTATCTATTCTCACGTGACATCTCGTGACCGTCCTCTGCCTCCTTGAGAAACCAGGTTCGTTGCACCACGTTTAGTGATGTTCCATGCACGTGGTAGCTATAGCAAAGAGCACGATTTTTAATGTTAGCAGCAGCAGAAGCAATAAAGCAAGGAAACTGACATGCTTCCCCAATTAATTTAGTATTTCACCATTTTTTACCCCTTCATTTTAGTGATATACTTTTAGTTTACGTTGTCTGCTTATGGCAAAGATCCCGTGGTGCACATCTGTTCAAAATCTCGTAGTATTTTAAATTTTAAATCTTAGATCTTAAATCTTAGTATTTCACCATTTTTTACCCCTTCATTTTCGTGATATACTTTCAGTTTACGTTGTTTGCTTATGGCACAGATCCCGTGGTGCACATCTCAAAAGAGATATTATTCGCGCCAAAATTTGATTCCCGTCTTGTAAACCTTGATTGGCTAATAACATGACAGGTCAAGCAGACGTTAGATTATGTAAATTAGGAGGCGGTTGACGGCTTGTTAAATAAATGTATCAGGCGTTATTTTTTGCCCCCTCGAGCCAAAGAAGTAAAAAAACAAAACAAAAATAACAGAACAAAACAACAAAACAACAGGCGGATGAATGTCTTGCTTTTTGATTGGCTGACTAAAAACTAAGAAAAGTATTCATTAGATGATTCATGATGTCGGAGGAACAAGCGCTAACTCGTCTGTGACTTCAAATCACAGAGTCGTAACCTAATTATACTAGCAGTAGCTGTTGGTTAGGAAGTGCAGGCGAACATGTGGGCTTACCTTAGAGATGTAATTAATGAATACCGCTCTCATAATTGTGTAGATGAATCAGAGAAAGCCCTTTTAGTTCCAGTATCAACAAAATGAATCACTGCGGATCATGAGCGTACAGTGGAAACTGAATTGACAACACAGTAAAAATTCAAATTTAACTCAACGGCTTTATTCACAGTTGTTTAGATACAATAAGCCTGCATATGGTGAGGAGAGCATCAAAACAGTATTTAAATGCGTGACATAAACTACTATACGCTCAACCTGAAATGTATACAGTCACGACTGCACGAAGTCTTATATCCAATCTGTGTTCAGTGACCAAAGGCCATTGATATGCAATAGAAAATAATGAAAAAAGCTTAGTTAGCTTTAGTTTACCACTGGAGTTTAGAGGTTATTGAAGCTTTCAGATGACAAGTAACGTAATATGCTTGGAAACGTATAAAAATATAAGAACCATGCACTGGAGTGAAACCTGAATAAACTTAATTTACTAAAGGGCAAGCCAGCTAGCGAGCAAGCTCTTCTGATGATCGCTGGGTACCAAACCCGGCTTGTCTCATTTGCTAGCATCCACGAATCAAACATTTATCTATTCTCACGTGACACCTCGTGACTGTCCTCTGCCTCCTTGAGAAACCACGTCCGTTGCACCACGTTTAGTGATGTTCCATGCACGTGGTAGCTATAGCAAAGAGCACGATTTTTAATGTTAGCAGCAGCAGAAGCAATAAAGCAAGGAAACTGACATGCTTCCCCAATTAATTTAGTATTTCACCATTTTTTACCCCTTCATTTTAGTGATATACTTTTAGTTTACGTTGTTTGCTTATGGCAATCCCGTGGTGCACATCTGTTCATAATCTCGTAGTATTTTAAATTTTAAATCTTAGATCTTAAATCTTAGTATTTCACCATTTTTTACCCCTTCATTTTCTTGATATACTTTCAGTTTACGTTGTTTGCTTATGGCACAGATCCCGTGGTGCACATCTGTTCAAAATCTCGTAGTATCTTAAATTTTAAATCTTAAATCTTAGTATTTCACCATTTTTTACCCCCTCATTTTAGTGATATACTTTCAGTTTACATTGTCTGTTCATGGCACAGATCCCGTGGTGCACATCTGTTCAAAATCTCGTACCCAAACTGAGGCTGCTGATACCAGTCGAAGATACTGATGTGTGGAGAAATCTAGAAGCTCTCAACTCAAGTGAAGAACTTCCAAAAGTTTGCTGTGAAAAGGTACTTAAAGGGACTGGTTCACGATAATGCGCATGCGCGCCGTTTGTCTCTTCAAAATAATTTGTTGGGTCAACACTAACTTCGAAATCGCCATTACCGGTACAATCATTGAAAATCCTTCGTTTTATTCGGACATCCGTCGCTTTGGCTGGTCTAGTTATACTTCGGTAGTGGTGATTAACGTGTGGTTGTGTCGTTTGACTGGTTACGTTCTAAGAAGACGCAATATATAGATTTAGCCAGGGCTAAAAGCGAAGCTCCCATTAATAAATTTATATTTTAAATCAAACAATGAACTTGTAATCCACAAATCAGTTAACTTAAGGGCTCATTCATGTGACTTTTGAGGGAAAGGATAAGTTATTTTAGAGTGAAACATCTTACATCGAGTTGATAGCCTAAATATATGTACACCCAAAAAATGGCAAACATCTTCTATCACATTCAAGAGCCATAATGGCTCTTGATCACGGTAGATTAGGCCTCGAAAACAAATTCTTGGAAAACAAATCAGGCCGCATTTTTTTTGCGTTCGACAGGTTTACTTTACAAATCCTTGCCAACAAATCTGAGGGTGTGTAAACCAACCTTTTATACTTTTTATACATCACATCTGAGGTGAAACAGTACTTTTTATCATACAGACCTCGGACAGAATACGGCATTTCACAATTTTTCAATGTCCAGGACGATCAATCGTGGGCTTTTAGCGAAACCGTTCAAAAAATTGCCAAAATCACCCATACGTCCAGCCGGTTCTCATTTTTAGTGCGAGCTGTCAGTGTGGTCGAGTGTTTGAATGAACTTTAATGGAGATACGTCTCAACATAATAACGAATTTATTATCATTACTTTTTGTTATTTAATGGTTCCAGCTATAACGATGTGTAATCTTATAAAGCGTTTGATACGTGGGACATTTCTATGTACTCCTGCAAGCGATGTTCATGAACGATGAAAACAAACACCACGGACAAGCGATTAAAATTGCAAGAGAGACTACTAACAATCAATAAAAGAAATATAATTCGGTAAAACATTTACAGAGACAACAATTTTCATTCACGAAGACAAGTATAAAAGTGTCTCTAAAAATCCTGAGTCTTTAAGCTTTAATAAAGCTTAAGCTTAAGTTTATTTTGTTTTACTTTCAGCCGGCCTCCCGGTGTTTGTTTTTTTTTTCAAAGATGAACTCCTCGAAGCAAGAAAATCACTCAAAGTTTTCTTTCTACAGCCAAATTTATAACTAAATATTCTTCGGAACGTTTGTTTTCTATTTGCCGTGAAAAAAAAAATCTGAAGGCCTTTTAAAGTCCTGTAAGCTTATATCAAACCTGATACTAGATCAGATCATTGACTCAAATCTTAACAAACGTGCAAAAACTTGCCGCATAAACTGTGCTCGACTTCATGAAATTAGATATAACAAAAACAAACATCAAATACAATAATTACTCAGGCTTACCATTCGAGATTCAGTTCCTGAAAGATATCAAGGAAGGCCATAGTTGCTTGAGACTTTTAAACCCTCTTACGCATTGAGCAAGGTGAAAGACGAAAACGATGCCATCCGAAATCGGATTACCCAATTTTAACAAGCGACGCATTTCTCAACCAAAAACCCAATAAACAAACCAGCCATGGATAACAGAAGACTCTTGATAGCAGCTGTATTTCATTTTGTACATCCAGTGGAAAAAGACAGTTAAAAACATCACAAGTTGACACAAAACTCTGTCAAAGTAAACAACTTTCAAGATGCTGCATAAATTTTCCGCATGAACTCACCTGTCAAATTTTGACCAATCAGAGTACAAAAATTGGACGTAGAGCGTTACCAACGCGTGACCATGGTAAGAAAAGGTCTTCCCCGCCTTTATTTTTAAAAAAGTGGCTGAATTTTCGCGTCCGAGGTCAGTTTGAAATCAAAATCTTGACAGTGCGGGGCCATAGTGACATAAACACAACATATTTCATATGAATCATTGGAAAAAATAGACTTGAGCCTGCGATCATTTGAAACTGGTAATTTGTCAGCGGATAACTTCAAAAAAGTACTCGACCTCGATGGGTCGACACTTGAGCCCGCGGTACGGTCAGGTGACACTGGTCAGCGGATATCCTGTTTTGACAGCTGTCAATTGATCACAACATTGATGTACAATTAGTTTTCTATTGGGCTCCCAAACTAGCTAGAAAGTGTGAGAGAAAACATTGGTTCCCCTGTGGTGCGGACGGACGGTCGGGCGTACGGTCACGTGATTACCAAATTTTCTCGGATGGGTAGATTACCACATTTCCTTAGCTATGGAGCTCCGTCCACACGCGCGCGCTTCGCGCGCGGGTGGAGCTCCGCTAAAAAATAATGTTTTGATCATGGAGGTTCAGAATAGCATCGTGGCCGTTCGGCAACAGGACGTTCTCAAGAGTCTTTGGAGATAGAGAAGCTTAGCCTATCGATCTGGAATGGTTCTAGGAGTAGTGTGTGGCATACGAAAAGAATACATGACACTTGGAAAGTGGTTAAAGGCATGAGTTCGTTCAACTTTGATTTGATTTTTGACTTCGACCTGTAGTTATACCGCAACAGGCCGTGCGATCTTCAAAGCAGGACAGGGCTGTAAATTTTATTCTTATCGGCTGCAACATATGTCTGAGCAGTAGCAAAGAATTAATAAACTTGAATTATGGGGATAAATAAAATCAACCCAAATGCCCGGAAATACTCTCGCGTCGCGAACAATTAATTTGAATTTTGTAAATTTACTTGCGTGCATCTAACTCGCTCCCGATTGGTTGAAAAACAATCAGCTACTGTCAGAACTCACACATGCGCATTATCGTGAACCAGTCCCTTTAACGCTGGTAGTTGAAATCGATCCTGCTTCCTTGGCCTGTGCTTAGTGAATCGCGGAAACATTAATTTTGTTTCTACCCTCAGTTTTTCGCTGAAGACAATAAACAACCAGGGATGAATTGCAGCATTTGCATGCGCCAGCCAAAAGAAGAACAACTTGAAAACATTGGGAATGTCTTCATAAGCATTGGTTTGAAACACTGACATCATGTGACCTACATGCACAGGAAGCCAACAAATCGTAAACACGCTGACAGCTGTCACCAGCATTTTGATGACTGAACGACGTTTTTTTGCTTGTTTTGCATAAGCCTGTTGGTTAACATGTCCTGGTGGTTTATGTCTCCATAAAAAGCGGGCGATCAACGAATACAGGACTGTCATGATGGTCAAAGGGATTGCATAGGCAATAACAACTTTAAACGTCAGTTCGGCTTTGAAAAGAATGTGAGCTATTTCAGGGAAATCATGCCACTCCTCGATGCACTCAACAGTTCCATCTTCCGTCTCCTTGGTTTTAGACGTGTACAGCTGGCCACTGAAAATCACACTGAAACATAACCATAAACCAAAGACTGAACGCACCACTGCTCTAGAAGACATGGGTCTCGGTCGGATGCACATAATAGCCAGAAATCTGTCCACGGCAATTACTGTCAGCGTCCAGATAGCAACACTAATAGAGATATTCAAGATGAATGGTATGAGCTTGCAAAGAAGGGCTCCCACTATTCCAGGCAGCCATCGGTTTCCTGCTATGAAGAACGACATGGTAAAGCTGGAAGCCGTTAACACATCCAATACGTCAGCTACAGCCGTGTTGGCCAAAAGCCAGTTGAACGGGTTTTGGCGAATGTCCCTGCGAGTGCGCACAAGGTGAATGACAAGCGAATTGCCTGCCAATGAAAGCATGATAATGACGATATAAGCAGCAACGAAGATCATGTTGGTGACGTTGTCTTCATCCTGGTTACCGCCGTCATTTTCGTCGTTTTTTTGACAATCAGGAATGGTACAATTTTCTATTTGATCCAAGGCGTCCATTTCCCGCTGAAAAAGAAAGAACAAAAGAGCTTTATAGACGCCATCAATCCTTGGAGGGATGTGAAGAGTAAGAGGTGAACAATAATTTGCGTACATCGAGAACGAATCAAAGCAGTAACGACTTTTCCACAGGCCGCGTTTATTGCAGTCTGCTACACAGCCGTTTTTAGTGTCGTCACGCAACGCTCCTCCCCACAAACGGCTAAAAACGGCTGTGTAGCAGACTACGTTTATTGCACAGCTAGATTATTAACATTTGGTCTCCCGCGAGGACTATTTTAAATGAAAGTTGAGTAATGAAGATTGTGGCCGGACATGCACATTATAATGTTTAATAAGCAGGGGCACCTAACGACAATTTTCGGAAAAATATCTGTTCGGAAGACCATTTGAGATCTAGAATTTTCGGACCATTTGTTGTAAAATTTCTTGCTTGCTTGCCTCTCCTAGGATTTTCGAACATCTAAAAAATGGTATAATTGCCTATTTTTAACGGATTTTTACCCTAAAAAGGTCACCTAGAATTTTCGGGAGCCTTTTTTCTGGCTGAAATTTTCGAAAAGTTAAGTTTTGATCCCTATAATTTTCGCATCACTAGACTTGTGCTAGGAAATCCGAACAGATGAAAAATTTTTAGGGGATAAAAATATGCCTATATCTACCGTTTAAATACTAAAATACGTTTAACAATTCTATGTTTAAGTGGTTTTGAACTATATTCTCGTTGGGTGCCCCCGAATAAGGGAAATTCAAGATACCTTGAGGAATCTTATAGAGGGGTAGGATAAAATATTTTTCAAGAACATATGTTATTTTGCCAAATTGTGCATTTTAAAAGACTCATCATGGTTTATTCTACCCGAAAAACCGATCTTAGGAATCAAAGCCAACGCCTTAACAAAATAAAGATATTATCTTCAGTTGTGTAAAGTTAAATACAAAAAACTATGCATCGTTTTAATAGCGAATTAGCAAAAACTAGTTATCTTGAATACCGTAAGCCAAGAGGGACTGTCCGAAGCTGGTTACAGTCTGGGCAAAACATGAAACGAAAAATATCCTTTCAACTTCATTAAAACCTCTCCACGAAGACACCTCACTGTAACGGACTGTTCCTGTTGGTCCCAAAGCTACAAAACGTCATGCAATTCCCACCTCTGGAACTAGTAATAACAAAATGTTAGGGCTGACCCGCAAGCCTTAGAAACGTGCACGACGGTCATCTGAAATTGACCGATTGCGCAATATAAAACAAAGGAAGTGTTGACAACATAGTGCAGGACCGAAGGTCGGGAACCATGAGAAACCCCTGGAACTTATTACTCGCGCGTCATCTCGCTAATTCATATGACATTTTATTCCGACAGGAGCAATAAACACAATCAAAATACAGTCGACTCCCGATAACTCGAACCTTCGAGGGAAATCGAAAAAAGGTTCGACTTATCGGGATCCCAAAGAAAATAGCCGAGAGTAAGGTAAAAAACAGTTTTTACTGCACAGTCAACATTTCAATCACATTTAATTGTACAAATAACAAGTGAAAATTAAAAGATACTTCTAGATTATAAACTACGGTATCTAAAAGATAGTAATGCTGCGGCACATTCTGTTGATACTGGCATTAGTTAGGCAGTGAGACTTAAAAGAATCAAAAATGACATTGAATGTCCTATTTACATGTTGGAAAGTACTATAATAATTACTATCAGTCTATAGAGAGAACTCGTGGGAACGTTGTTTAAAAAAATGATCAAGTGGTTATCAACTCTGGTTTTCCCACAGGAAATAATAGAAATTCAGATTGTTTATCCATATAATTAATATACGGTGCACGATATTTGCTCTGGAAACACAATACTTTTCTTGCTGTTTGTTGCACTTTATTAAGTAACAGTTATTTAGCTATATATTTATAGAAAACAACAACACAAAGAAACGGAAAAAAGAAGATAGAACGAATGAATAATTCGGTAGGACTCGAACCCAGCACCTTCGACTCGACGCGACTACACTTAACCACTACACCGCAGAGGCTGATTACGAAATCTGTACTAAAAATCTCTCATTTTATTCCTTTTCCATGAAACTTTCGCCGGCAAGATGATTGCCGGCCGCATTAACCGAGCTATTAACAGTGAAAAAACAACGTAAACGCATCTTCCATGGCAATGAATGAATGAAAGAACATAATTATACTTTTCAAAACGCCGATACACGTCCTTGTCTGCAAAGTAGGACACAAAAGATATCTTTTGTTATCTCGATTTCCGCTGTTATTTTGAAGCTAATGGTCAAAATCACATCCATTTTCGGCTCATACAGTTTCTTAAGAATAGCACTGCATGACATTTTCTCACTTTCACATCACCTTCTAGCAAGCTGGAATTTGTATATCCCCCGTGTTGCGGAGTCGAAGAGCAAATGCTCATCTTCTCGTCAGGTTTAACACCTGGACGAGTCAAAGGCTCTTGAATTGAAATCCAATCCCCAAGTTACCCATCGTACTCATCTGAAAGATTCCTGAAATTTGGTAAGACCTCTAACCGTGCTGTAGAAAATTTGCCACAAAGAAAACTCTAAGTCTGAGCAGTGAACGATGCACTCTCTCACCCACCGAACTTCCCCGTGTTTTTCTTTGAGTTGTTCGTGGCGCAATGCACTCTGGTTAAATGCAATGCATTGTGGTAAAAAGTGTGGTTAAATGTAATGCATTGCGGTAAAAAGTGATGAATTCGAGAATTCGTCCCCCCTTATATATTTCCTTTAAATCCTGATTATGTTGCGGCTCGCTCCCTTCGGTCGCTCCGCAGCAATTAACTAGTCAATAGGAAATCCAAAATTCAATGTTCTTTTTTCTTGACTTTTTAAGGGCTCAAAACATGGTTCGAGTTATTGAGGGTAAAATTATATAGAAAATGACCTGATGGGAAACGAAAATTGGTTCGAGTTAGCGGGAGTTCGAGTTATTGAGGGTTCGAGTTACCGAGGGTAAAATTACAGTGAATGTATGACGGAAATCCAGGGGAGATCGATTTTGGTTCGAGTTAGCGCGAGGTTCGAGTTAGCGAGGGTTCGAGTTATCGGGAGTCGACTGTATGTTTTTGTCCCCAAACGATAACCTGAACCTCCGTAAATACATCATCGATTTTATTTTAAAAATTTCAAATGTCTTTTTAAACAGAGCAACTTCAGAACACTAGGCCACTTTACTTAAATTTATTTACATTGTGTGGGCCGCGCCTAAACGTTTCTTTGTAACCACCACGTAAATCAAATCAAAACCAAACCAAAGTCCCCAGGTGCTTAAAAGCAAAAGGACGCGCGCCAGGAGAACGCGAGACCACAAAAATATTGCTTTCGAAATGTAACCGCAGTAGCAGAGATTCTCCGTGAACGGATCGCAATAGTATTGTTCTAAATAAATATCAAAAAGAAACACCTAGTGTCTCTGTTGCGTGATAAAACTTGCACTTAGGAGTTTAGAACACCATGGCATTATTAACAATAAAACTCGCTTCTTAGTGTTTTCTCTTCCGGCTTTTCTCCGGCGTTCCATTCCTTGTTCTTAATTTCTATACAGTCCTCTCGCAAGAATTTGCGAATACTAATGGCAAAAGTGAAACTCACCTTGTTTCCCCGCAAGCAGTTATTATGTTAGGAGGAAAATGTCGATTTCATTGGGTTTTCAATATATTTCATGGCACGTTGACTACAAAATTATAAAACAGGATGTCAACTGTTTTGAATAAGGTTTTATTTAAGTCTGTGCAAATAGGAATCTTTATCCTCTATGCAAACATTGTAATCGAGATTGTTTACTCATGTATATAATTATTGGAACAGTGTGCTTCAGGAAATTTCCGTACGCATATTATATGTACCCTCGAAATTGAATTTTCTAGAAATAGATATGCAGCTTCTAAAGTCACTGAATAATTAGACCTTTCGCCTGTTCAAATACCAACCGTTCGTAGGTTTTAGTTTTGACATTTTGAGGGATCCTGAGCAAAGGAAACTCGAATTCTTTTACACAGCTTTCTTTGTAAATTTCCTAAATTCACTTGCTTGACTGACATTTAATTTTGAGTTTAGTTTAACATATGAACTCTAAAACTGAATTTATCCACAGGGGCGGATCCAGGATATTTTTTAGGAGGGGGTGCACTCGTCTCTTGCTCTACTTCAACACCAATAAACCACATAGTTTTTTTTTTGCAGAATACCAGTTATATTAGAAAACCGCAGGTCATCTCGGGGGGGTTGCGCACCCCCTGCACCCTCCCCCTAGATCCGCCCCTGATCCAGATTTGTTTTTGCTGTTCAGCTGATTTTATTCAGCCTTCTTTCCATTTGTTTTGTGATGTTGTAATAAGTTGATCGCTTAGTATAAATAGCGCACTGTTATTCCTGTTTTTCGATTTACAGTGCGGAGCTATATGCTTGTACGATTTACAATTGCGAATTTACTTGACTTTATGATTTACGTTCACGAGCTGAAGATTACACTGTTGAAGTCCAAGTTTGAGTCCTGTCCTGTTTCCAGTTGTAGCAGATCCTAGTACCTTGGAATAGTGACGAGTTCCTTTCCCGCCAGCCAAGCGCAAAACCTATCGTCATAATTGATCAAAAGACTCCCTTAACAATGATTTCTATTCCCATACCTAATTTTCTAAAATCTTGCAATACATAGCTTTTTCTTGAATGGCGAGATTTGGTAATTTTTGGCTGGCTTTGGGCACGCTTTGGCGGGATGGCGATTTCACTATTCGACCGAATCCATTTGATCGCTTGGTCTCTGTATTTTCTGCCTCTACTATGACATCTTCATCTACTAACAATAGTATTTCCGCAACCTGTCGTCATTAAATAACGGAAATTTTTTATGTAGCCCGTTTGCAGACGCTTTACATCATTGACAGCAGATCATGCATAATATATAGTCACCAAACAAATGCAGTCGTATTAGAAGATCTAACGTTTTCAACATCAAAATGCCTACCAGACTGCTGATGAATATTACCACTGTACTTACACGTTTATCGTAATATCGAAAGGCTCAGAAACATTTTGAAGTCATAGGAAGACCGTCTTCTTCTCGTAATGTCATCTAAATCTACAGATGAACACACTGTCCTTTACGTTCATCTCAAGAATGCAATGCTGGCTTTACATGTATTCGATCAGAGGTCAAATCATAATGTCACAATACTTCCATGTAAAGAAAAAGTCAATTATTGTTTCCATTGTTTTGGTTAAATTTTTAACTATAGTGCGTTGAATGTACAAGATTCCATCAGAGAGAGAGAGAGAGAGAGAGAGAGAGAGAGAGAGAGAGAGAGAGAGAGAGAGAGAGAGAGAGAGAAAGATTGAAGGGCACTTTTGCAACATCAAATAGGGCACTTTAGCAACATTAGGGCACTTTTGCAACATTGCATGGGGCACTTATGCAACATAGGGCATTTTTGCAACATGACATAGGGCACTTTCGTCACAGTAGGGCATTTTTGCAACGTGACATAGGGCACTTTCGTCACAGTAGGGCATTTTTGCAACGGGCACTTTTGCAACGTAAACAACAGGTGTTGATATATATGTTATATATGTTATACCTTGTACTAATAGTATATTTTCATTCCCTTGATTCCAGCATGCATCTTTAAAAAATAATTTTTAACTTATAAAAAGCGACTAAGAAAAACCTAGTGAAGTCCTCGAGCCGTTTCGGTATACCGTTGGTCTTATTTGTGCTTCGGAAAGTCTTACTTTCTTTCTTACAGGGGATGGCGACATAGAGTTTGCTTGGCTATAAGCCAGTAAGAACAAAAAGGGGGGCCTTAAACATGTTCAATGACAGTCAGTTTTCATTATTTAAGGGTGCTGTAGACTTTCAATCGCCGATTCTTGCAAATGTTTGCAGCTAATTAATTACCGTAAATCATCTATTAACCCCACGGTAGGCATACTTATTCCAAGCACTTTTGAGGTGGGGAGTGGGGGGGGGGGCTTATTTGAGAGGGGGATATTCAATTTAGCGAAACGCATTACCCCCGGCGAAGTTCCTCGAGGGCCGATATATGGTTCCAGGGCGCCATACTGCTTTTTCAAACAACCAGAATTTGGTATCAATTCTCCAGAAAGAACTAGAACGCAAAGTGGAAAAGCTCGAACATATGAAGTTGGAGGTTATGCCGCCGAAGATCAAAGGCAAATCCCAATTTCCAGAACGCGAATAGACCATATCGGATCAGCCGACATAAAGTGTTGACAGTCGTGGAGGGGGGCTTATTTGTAAGGGGGTCTTAAAAGAGGATTTTCGGTATCTGCAGTTTGAAGTACAAAGCAGTACAAACCAATCGCTGACGGTAATCGTATCTCGGACTCGCATTTTTTTGTAACGGAATCTTCGGTTGACGTAACAGTCGTTTCGGACACTTCTTGGACTTCTTTTTTCGGTACGGAAAGGTTCAAAAATCTGCGCTGGGTGTTATATATTTTTCAAAGGCATTATCTAAAGGACCCATATTATTTTACAAAGTAACGAACTCAACAGGAGCCACCAAACTTAAATCGGCCAGACACGGGTCATGCTCATAACAAAGGAGTTTGACTTTGTTTCAAAAACGAAACTTTCTTTAAATTTTAAAGTGTCCCCCGTGGCTCTGGTTGAGTTGGTAGCACTGTATTATGTTTTGAAGGGAAGGTCAGGTGATGCCTTCATAATTAATGCAAACTAATAAGTAAACAGTAAATAACAGGACACGTGCTTACTGGTATTTAATCACAGGTACAGGTATTCTAAAATATAAACTGCAATGTTCGTGCTAACCTCAGAACGAGAACGGTTTGGAATGCTTATTGACGAAATTCCTGTTTGATTGATTTGTTTCTATATGTTCTATAGTTGAAAATAGTCCATTAAACATGCATAATCAAAATGAGGTTTAAACAGAATTCGACAATTTACACTTATTCTAAATCTCCTACATTCTACTCGCCATTGATGCTAAAACTGTCAGACAGCAAACATTAAAAATTAATAAATAAATAAAAATAAACTCAGAGCGACTTTTACCTTGATTATGTTTTAAAATCAATCACTGCAAATCGTTAACTTCAAATTGGCAAACAAAGTTCTTTCGCTAATCTTAAAAAGTTCCTGCCTACACTGCACTTTTATATTTGGAAGTTAAAAATACACCTACGGCCACGGCAGTGAAAACGTCCTTTCTAAATGAAATCTGTGTTCTTTTAAAAGTTCCTCACCATTACTTCAACACACTCAATTTATCACAAGTAGGTGAATTCACATGGGTTAAATTTAGGACCACGATTTCCGTTCCGAAGGAGACACAAGACTTTCGTGTGTTTTCCTCTTTCAGAAATTTTGGCATAAGGAAGTTTCACATCCTTGTTCAGAGTAGTGAAGGTCGAGAAATGTTTCAAAAAATGTGACGCAAGTCCAAAACCCGTTTTTCTTACCAAACCTATTCAGCGATTGAATAATGTTTGCATTGCCGTTGCTGTCGTGGCACCTTAAACTACCTGGCCAACCCCGCTAAAGCGTTAAGTGATATTTTCCTTTAAAGTGCTCACTGAAACGGAATATAGTCTACTCAAAACTGAACTTAAGATCACTTACTAGTTTAAAATCCTACTAAAAGCGAAAATAACTTACATCATTAGAGATATTTTCCGGTGCGTTTTCCGATCACAAACAGAGAATGATACAAGTGCAAAATGTTGTATGTCACAAAGAAATACTTGGCTTCACTGGTAATGTTTAGTAATGTTGTTTGACTCTCTACGAGACGGAAACTTCTTTAAGAAGGACACCTAGAAAAGGTCTCTGTCTCTCTTTAGTGATGTATTTTTACTCTCTCCAAGACCGGTACTTCGTGTCATTATATATTCCTAGCGGTGTCCGTCTTAGGAAGAGTTGTCTGTAAACCGAAATGTGTAGTAACCGTTTCGGCAGCACTTTAAATTAAACTTTTCGTTTTTGAGGCCAAAGGCAAATGTGAATTTTTTTGTTAGCTACCTAGTTCTCCAAAAGACAAGAAAGTTGTACTCGAACTATATTCAAGTGATGTAACTACACAATACTGTTATAATCTTACTGCTTGTGAGTGAAAGTTGGTTTATGATCATGGTAGTAACGACAGTATATAAACTATTCATCCAGATTTGTTTTCCGCTGGTTTATTTAAAAGGGACCTTAATCAACGAAATCGAGCGTTTTCCTTTCTTGAGCGTTTGTATTTCTCACAAATCTTTCGTGATCTTATCTTCGTTTGTCTTCTACTTTTGCACCACGCGAGGGCCATCTGTTCGTAATTTCAAGTAAAAGTACATTGTAAACTGATTACCAGACCGTTTATTCATTAGAAAGAAAAAGGATCACCTTTTAGGCCAATGTGGAAATTTGCACCATGTGACCAACCGTTTGCCGTAAACGTGTGCTCAATCACTGTAACGTTAAGAAAACATATCACCGTGGCGACTACTTATAAATCAGTGCCCCAGGTGAGCTGAAAACAAATCCGGATTTCAATTTTAAACCAGGTACCACTTAATATTACCATAAGTACCTGTCAAAGCCTTGCTTTTTTCAAAATACGGCGACAGGTCGTTCCAGCTGCCCCACCGTAGGGTCAACCCCGAAATGGTGGTTACTTATTTCGAATTAACCGTCTTTCGTATTTTAAACGATTGATAATTTGTTTTATAGTAAACTGACGTAAAATGTCTTTACCAAAGTCGTCTTTCTCAAGTAACTCCTTCGTCGCTTTTTGTGAGATTACGCCACATCTTACGATGCCACCACACACTTTGAGAAGACACTTTCTCTGCTCATCACTGAAGATATTATGGCTCACATAGCTTGAATTTGAGGGAGGTTCAAAGGATACACTACTTTGATCATTTGAAAAGAATCGGTCTATCTTGTCAGTCAGAGAGTCGCTCTCTTTGGGCAATTCAGCCGAAGGTTGCTCGTCAGCCGCACTGATGTTGTCGCTATACCGCCACTCGCTTCGAATCTTATCATAAACCCTTCTCGGGCTGAGATCAGAGAGGGTAGGATGGCCTTCAGTCTTGTTCTTAACAGCTGCCATGGTTACTGATTTCGATTCAATTTCTTTGGCGAAGACCTTTCTTAAGGCAATCACTTCTTCCTCTTTCCACTCTATACGTTCCTTGAAACTTTCAACAGCGGTGTTTTTGTCGCCAACTGTCCCTGAAGCACCATCATCAGATTTCGTGCCGGCTGCTTCAGGCTGGTTCTCCATTTCTTTCTGGTTAGACAATCTCATAATGCAAGGAAGATTGGATGCAGCTTGTAGACATGCTTCTTCCTTTTCCTTAAGGCGATAAAATCTCTGTGCGGTGGTCTCTTTATGCGCCATAAGGTCGGCCAAATCTGATCTCAACTCGTTATGCCGCGCGTGCACATTCGTGACAGCAGACTTGCGAAACAAAGTTGATGAGATGTGCCCTTGCATTCCGCCTTTTCCCCACGCTGCATTTATAGCAGTGCAGATTTGGCCAGACTCCATCTTTTCCCCATTCCAAGACAAAAATACGTAAGCTTCGTCACTCTCATTCTCATTCTCTGGGCCGTGAGTGTCCGCTGTTTTGTGCTTCTTGACACTTAGGACGATGCTATCCTGCTTTTCCTTTGCAGCCTTAAATTCGCCAACTGTCATATTAGCTAACACGCCAGATCGGTGTGCATTTGCAATGGTAATTTCAAGGAGTAGAAAATCTCTGATAAGAGTGTACACGGCTTGGTTTACAACCAGTGAATGCGCTCCAGTGAGTTTTTCTATGTATCCGACAACGCTCCGTGCCGACTCACTCCGTTCAAACTCATTGATTATATAATAATAATAATAATAATAATAACTTTATTTGTATAGCGGTATATACAAAAGCTCTATATCGCTTTACAATCAAAAAAAAAAAAATAACTAACAATAGCACCAAAACAAAAAGTCAACTGAAAGCGAGTCTAAAAAGATAAGTTTTCAATCTAGATTTAAAAACATAAACTGATCCACTTAATTTAATGTCTAAGGGAATATCATTCCAGTGCTTTGGGGCAGCGACCGAAAAGGCCCTGTCCCCATAGCTCTTCAGGCGCACACTCGGTACTTCTAATAAATGTTTGCTAGCTGACCTAAGATTTCTTGTAGGGTTATATGGGACTATAAGTTGACTTAAATACGGAGGCGCCAGGTTTTTGAGAGCTTTAAAAGTTAACAGTAATACTTTAAAGGTAATTCGCTGCTCCACAGGTAACCAGTGTAGCTCCTTAAGGACGGGGCGAATGTGCGCAGCCCTAGGTTGCCCAGCTACAAGGCGTGCAGCGCAGTTTTGAACGCGCTGGAGCTTCTGAATAATATACTCCGGTGACCCGAGGAGCAACGAGTTACAATTGTCCAGTCGACAAGTAACATAAGCATGGACGAGGGTCTTTGTGCTCTCGGAAGTCAGATACATTCTAATCTTCGCGATATTCCGAAGATGAAATAAAGCAGATTTACAAACGGAACTCACATGCTTATCCAGTGACAAGGTCTCATAAAAAAACAACTCCTATGTTCCTAGCTTTGTCAGACCGCTCTACACGATGATCACCAACCAGGATATTATCTAAAGATGGGCGTGGCCGATATTTTGAACTAGGTTGTTGAGGTCCTTGTTCATCTTCTCTAGATGCCTCCGTTTGCTATCCTTTTTGTAAGACATGGACCAAAGACGTGCTTTCTCTGCAATTTGGCTGACAAGGGCAGGATCAACATCTACACACTCAGGTTTCTCTGATGTCACGTACGAACAGAAATGCCTCAAACTGAGAAGATACGCCTTAATGGTATCAGCGGTATACTTCGTTTCTGCATGCTTTAAAAAAATGTCCCGAAGAAGACTCTTTCTAAACAAAGACCTCAAGTTCTTTGTTGGGTCAATTATTTCCAGAATACGGGACAACTGGGAGGCATGTTGTTTGGATAGCTTAGGATCCTTTCTACCGCCATCTGCAGACTGCAACCAACTGCAAAAGGAGAACATCACATCGAGCTGTTGTTCCTCATTTGAGAAATCAACATCTTCTGCCAATTCCATAATTTCTAGCTCTTCGTTATTTGACGGTACGTCGGAAGGATCAGTGTTATTTGTCATCTCTACCTCTTTTTCAGACTGATCCGAAGGGGAGTGCAATGTATCCATCTCTGAACGAGAACATTTAGCTTTTTTCGAAGGTATCCACGTTTTCGTAGCACCAGCTTCTTTCAAAGTTTTTTTGTACAAAGGTGACCCTACCGGGATGTCCCTATGCACTTGCCGTAAATGAGCGGACAAGCGCTTCACCACTGACTTGCAACCCTCAATCGGACATGGACGGTGTCGGTGATAGTCTTTATGTATCTTTTTGCTGTCATCGGATTCGGACTTCTTCTTAACAGGTTTTGGCAGGAAACTTTTTCTCATCCCATATCTTGATGTTGCCTTTCTTGACATTTCTTTGCTCCAACCATGAACACCCCTTAAGTGTCGAGGGAGGTCTACCACCTCTGCTTCACACCCTTTTATTGGACACTTGCGCAACGGCCTTTTGCCCTGCACAGAAATGCTGAAAGTACACAAAGGGGAAAGTGATTGACAATATACAAAAACGTACATATAGATAGATAGTTTTAAAAGCCACATCCTTTATAAAACTGGTTCTAACTCTTGCAGGCAAAGGGTCTAATGGCTCAGTCTATTCCAAGCGTGTCCATCCACCCCCCAGACATTTGCTGGGCATTTGTTATTTTGTTTTGGAACAACAGCAACTGCCCCATGATGGGCCCTGGCGGTTCATACAAGAAACCCATGGTAGGGCTTAAAACAGTGTGCAAATGCCCCACCCCAGGGAAAGACCAAAATTTCATTTTCCTGTAAATAAGCTGCATATGCCATATTTATAGCAAATCTGTACTAATCTGATCAAAACACATGAAGCACCCTATGCAAATTGCTCCTAGCTGCTATTTATAATAAATATTATTACTGAAAAAAATCACATTGATCTGATTAATACCAGTGACAGAACTACAAACTTGGATTTTAATAATACCTTTCCTATTTTGGAATGATAATCAAACAACGGACGAGTTTAATGTGAGTATTTTCTCATCACGATGGAGTCGTTTGTCAATGCACTTGTTGTCGCATTCATGATTGTACAATACACAAATAGCTTTCAAATATGTTGCAGAGTCTTTATAGGCCTTTCTGCCTCTACCATTCGCTCACGAAGAAAGTTTCTTTTCCTTTACACTCTTCAAAAGATGTATTGATCATTTTTCATGTGCGAATTGATCACAATGGCGGGAAGCAATTTCCAAGACAGATAGAAACACCGATTTCTTTCTGAACCAGTTTATAGAAATGTCGATACCCGTCTAAATAGGGATATTTTTAAGTGAAATATCAAAAAAGGAACGACGTTAACTGTTTCTAGAAGAATAGACAAATGCCTTACCCCCGGGCAGAGGTTTTCTGACTCATTCCCCTCCACCAGGACTGATAAGATTACAAATGCCCTATAAATGCCTGGGGGGGGGGGGGGGGTGGAAGGGGCAGGCTTGGGATTGACTGAGCCATAGTTGTTTTGTTATCACCCAACTAGTCAGACAACTGAGAAAAAAAGAAATGCGCCTACAAAGCAGTAGTGAAGCCAGTCATTATTGTCTTGTGAGATAATATACACCAAACAGATGTTTTCAGAAAAGTGCGACGTACACATCATTACAACATATATGACGTGCTGTCATGTCTCCTTTGAAATTAAAAATCAAAGGAGGTGAAAAGCTCTGTAGTTGAGTGTTAATATGAATCATAAAAAACCTGTTAATTATTGCAGATTGTATAAACGATCACTGAATGTTAACTGAGTCCAGCCATTTTCGAGTACGGGCATGGGTAGGACACGTGCATCGCTCAAATCACATTGTCATTAAATAGCGCTAGAAATGACACAATAAGACAATGTCATAGGATGTTCGCTGCTATTTTGCGATGAGGTGCACATTCAATGCCTAAATCACTTCAAACACCCCCGTTTTAAAAGACAAAGAATGGTAAAAACAAGAGCTCGCTTACCTGCTACACTCGTCACGAAGTCTTCTTGAAAAGGAGTTTCAAATATGCCTCCCGAAATGTCCATCTAAGTTTAATGCCTACCATGCACCAGGGTTAAACCTTTGCAATTTAACGATCATCACTAGCTTTGAGAATTTTATGATGCAAACAAAAACTGTATGCCTTTAGTAGTTTCATCGTTGGCACGAAAGTAATATATATATGTATTTTTTTTTTCGGGCCGAGGCAACCCTCTGGGTTGGGTAACCTTCTGGGTGGGATAACCTTACAACTTCACGGTACAAAAACAGGAGGAAAACCAGGCTGGTAATGATTCAGCAAAAAGGTTGAGAACTCGCTACACAGGCAGATGTTCTTTAGAAGGTTAAAGGTGAGGTTGAATTGCTATAGTTTTGCACTAGGGATGGGTGTGCCTCCGTGTGAGGATTTTATTGTTTTCTCAGAGGCCGAAAAAAGTCCGAAAACAGCCGTATTATCTTGCTTTTGGCAGCATAAATAGCCTTAATGCTTAAATTAGACCTCAAACCATATTGAAAAACAAAATTTACTTCATTTATTCTTAACTTTGCAGCATGTTTTAACACTGTTGCAAAAGTGCCCTAAAACGTTTCGGAAAGAAGGAGTGCTAAATCTTGCACTAAGTACATAAAATTTAGCGTGGAATTAACTTTCTTCACATTAATGCACTGTGCCAAGTTAAAATTGTCCCAAAAAGCATTCGAAGATAGGCTGTTCCCCCAGTTTTTGGTTGTGCTTCTAACTAGGGCACTTTTGCAACTCAAAGAAGCCGTAGAGGGTCGTAATAAAAAAAAATTTCAAAAAATATTTGATGCCTACTTCACGCAGTCTTTGACATTGGAATTAATGCTGGTGGGTGACTGTAGATGTTTCACCCTTTACTTTTGCTGCCAGCTTCAGTATTTGAAAAAAATTGAAAGTAGCGCTCAAAATTCATGGTGCAATACTTTTTGATGTCGAGCCAACGTCGCAAGTCGGTGAAGAAGTATAGCTTCTCCCAAGATTTTTTTGGGCTCCAAAAAAAATGAAGAGACAAAGAAGTGGTAAGCAAGTGAATGCCCCAGACATGTCTACGGGGCCGGATATCTACCAAACCAAACGAAAAAAATCAGAACTTTCTTTTTTGGGGGTCTTACCACGGCGTGGGGCACTTTTGCAACAAAAACGGAGGAAAAAAAACTGTAAAAAATTTACCTGTAAAGCTAAAAGGCTGGAACTTTAAGGGGTATTATATCATTGAATACTTTTCACTGTGACACAAGGAAAATGCCACCCTATTTAATCTGTGAAAGTTCTAAGCGAGAGACATGAATGCGACAAAAATGCCCTATTTTCAATCTTTAGAGAGAGAGAGAGAGAGAGAGAGAGAGATGCCATGAAAATACGAACACAACGCACCAGCGCGTACGTGACACGCGATTCACCGCGGAAACTGCAGTTTAGCAAGCTCACGCCAAAGAAATTCGTTGAATCAGCACACACAAAGCCTCGGAGATCAATGATTGCAATTCGCTTTGGCATCCATTTTTCCTTTACGATGAGTAGTATGCTGTGTGTTCACGGACTGCGGGTTTTACATAGCAACATTCGTCCGATTCTATTTGAGTTCTGCGACCCTCAATGCGTACATTCAGTACAATATGGAACTACGCTACATTTTAATACTGGCAAAAACCAGAAAGACAACGCTTGAGTCGTAGGCCACGCGCGATTATTCTGCATAACTCGTGAGCTAAGAACGCAAATCTCTCTCAATTACTCTATCGCCAGATGCGCCTGGACTGGACTCTGGACTGGACTGGACTAGAATCTGGACTGGACTGGACTGGACTGGACTGTGTTTAAAATTATCTCGATATTTTTTGGGGTGCGTTAGGTATTAACAAAAACATGACCTGTTTCTTCTGCGTACCAACCAACCCATGAGCTGGGCCTAGTTTTCGGCATTGTTAGTTGTTGTTAAACTGAGTGGGAATTAATAAAAAATGATTTTCTTCTTCGGAGTTTAGTGCAACATTAGTAGCCTTAAGAAGCGACCACCGGTCTTCAATCCTGCCCTTCTGACATTTCATCCCGCGGACATAAAAGAGAAAGCTTTCGTGTATGCTCACATGGATTACACTAACGAGTAGCTAGGTCTTTAAATTACAACGCGTTAAAAAAAAAAACCACTTGAAACACGATCCATCCTCCAAGCGGAATAGTCCCTTACTCCTGCTCCTCTCTATTGCGCGAAACTCGAGACACGGAACAGAAGGGCCATCGCTATCAACTTTTTATAAAACAGGCCCCTATATGAAGCACTGGACATTCAAAAGAAAGTTCTGTGACTCGGTTTTCACTGCAAAGAAAGGAGCAAAAGTCGGAAATGTTAAAACATCAGCCAAGCTAGTGCTTTTTTTCTGTTTGGCCGACTCCCAACCACCCCCCTCCTCCCTCGTTGGTGTGGTGTCGGAGCGTCATCACACCAATCATAGTCAGCCAACATCTTTGTCGTTCTTGTTTTCAGCAAGAAAAATAATACTGTACTAATAATACATGGCGTATTCACTATTTACATGTTTAGAATTTACAATCTCGGTTTCGCTGAATAACCAGGCCTTGGATTTTGTGCAATTAAATGGTAAAAACAAACTTTGGCGATATAATAGCCTGCGTGGCAGGCGTTTGAAAGGGAAGGGAAAGGGAGTTTTAGGTGCGAGAGAAACGCGTTTCCCTCCCGCCCCCAACCCCCTTTCCATTCCCTTTCAAACGCCTGCCACGCAGGCTAGCTATATAAATAAGAGACGGTCAGGTCTGACTGATCAAACGCTACCGCCTTTCCAATTTGACTCCCCCCGGGACGTCGATAATAATACTCTATCACATCCCAGTCCGGGCTATGAACAAAAAGACCATGACCAAAACCCAGAAAAGCCTGCGTCTGACATCCACTGTGCGTAGGCAAAAGAAGCATTTCACGGGCTGCGTTATATAAGAAGAATGAAAGCATTTTTATTAATTCCTACTCTGTTTTGCAACAAAAGCCCCATGGGGCGGTTGGTACGTGCAACAAACAGGGTCTATCTTTTTGGGCTTATTCTATTTTGCGAAACTAAAGGAAAGGAAAGGAAACGAAATATATGGGAGAGGGAGAAAAAATGCTTATTAACCTAAACACAGCTTAAGACAACATTGACAATGTGTTTGGAAGTAATAGTTAACGAAAAATTACAGATTTTTACCTTTTTCGCAAAGTAGTAATTTCAATACAATTACTATTTTGCGAAATGGCGTTTTTTCACCTATATTTAGCAAATATGTCCTTTTCGTCTGAAACAAATTGTGTCCACCAATAAAATGATTAATATTTCGATGATTCTGGTGACTTCTCATTTTATTAGCCGTACTAGAACTCATTTCGCAAAGTAGTAATTTTGCCAGATTTACTATTTTGCGAAATGGCGTTTTTTAACCTTTTT